ACCCACTATCGCCAAACAGCCTGAAAGGAAAATCAACATCAGCCCTCAAACTCTTAGTGAGGTTGAAAAATCTATAACTAATCTAAAGTGACATAGAGCAGCAGGTTCAAATGGGTTAGCTCTGGAGATCTCTAAAGATAGTAGTCTAGTTTGCCAGTCAGATCGACTGAGATCATAATTAGAATATGGGAATTAGACATAATCCCATCTGACTGGTCTCGATCGTTGATTCTCCCAGTTTATAAGAAAGCACAGAAATCTCCCTAGTCGTGACCACAAAGGAATCTGTTTGAATAATATAACACCTAATATATTTCCCCCAATAACCAGGGCTCGTGAAGAGAGAAATCGGGACAGTCAGACTCGGTTCAAACCTAGACGTGAACGTAACAACCAAATATCCACCCTTTGTCAAGTCCTGGAACATAAACATACTTCCCGACATCCGACTACAGTGTATTTCTTAACCTTAGACTTTAAGGCAGTTTTCGACCCTGTCGAATGTGAGGTTCTGTGGTAGTGTTTGTCATTAAAAGGCATACCAAACAAGTACATCAAATTTGTAGAGGTTCTTCACTTCAACACTATTGGTCAAGTTAAAGCTTATCGAGAACTGTCAACCTCAAGTAGTGTTCCTCAGGATTGTGCAGTTTCTCCACTCTTATTTAACTTCGTCATCGATATCCTTTTAAAAATAATACTCTCATAGTCTGACTTTTCAGAGGTCGGTCTTCTACCAGAAGATCCGCTTATTGATTTTGAATACCCAAGTGATATCGTGCTGTTTGGTAAAGACGCTGAAAAGATATTGAGACCACTGTTGCCTTAAGCAATAATGCGAGCATGTTTAAGACGCGATTCTCTCCCTATAAATCAAAATTGTTAATTCAAAACTGGGCTGCGTCAACCTCTGCATTAATGATAGGGAGTGAAGTAGCTGAGCATGTCGATCACTTATAATTTATCTTGGACGTCTCATCAGTCCTGATGAATAGGTATTTGATGAAACCACGACACGGAATCAAAACGTTCGGTCGGCTTTTGTGTCACTCACGAAGTGGGTGAGATATTAGTCTGTCAATCAAAGGACGAGTTTACTAATCAACAATTCGCTTGGTTCTACTTTATGGGTGTCAAACATAGTCAATAAGAACAGAGAATGTTCTCAGCTCACTATTATTCGATCATAGGTGAATCGATACACAGATCATACATTTTTGTCTGCCGAGTGAGCAATGCTGAAGTTACGCATAGGATACTAAGTACAGATTGCCAAATCGATTGATCAGGAAGTGAATATTCATCGGCTGAGGTGGTTCGTATATGTCTCGCCTATGTCCAATCACCGCCTAAATCAACGAGCGATATTGTCCAGTATACAAGTAGACCAGGACAAAGCTAGGTGGGGCCAAGAGAAGCCATGTCACTAGCCCATGAAGCCATTGATAATTAGACTGATTCATATTAATCACTGTAGAATACCTATGTGTGGTCGCGTAATTATCGTAACCAATTGCAAGAGACTATGGATAACAAGCCTGAGAATGGTTCGCAATACCCCAAACACATTCACTCACTACCTTCCCTCAAAACATCATTGATGAATTAACACTTTCAATACCCAATCGCCTTTACAAATACAAAAAATGTTACTAAATCTACAACTCAACAATTTGTAGAAAAAAATATTAGTATCTAACACCAAATACCCAAAATCATATACTGCAAAAAAACGCAAACGCACGTCAAACATCAATAAACAAACAACCACAACGACTGAAAAAACACATACCGTCTGGAATCGCAACATCATCTTCATAACGGTAAGGGATCGGTGACAATGCCTGTAGAGAGGATACTGGTAACTTCAACATCTCGCTATTATCTCTCGAAACATTTTTCTCTTCATCTAAAACAACACCTACAAAGTTAACAATAAAACACAGTTAGCAAAAATAAGGACATCAAAACAGTAACTGCTAAATGGATATGGTGGTTGGGCTTGCATATCGTGGTCACTTAATCGATTTATATGGGCTGTAATACTTGTTCGTTTAGGTATTATCATAACATGCAGGTCGGTTTGGAGAACGGTCAGTATGAAATTAGTAACCTCAGGTCTGAAGGAGAAGTCATACTGCTAATTGTACAGTCGTGTGATAACAGTAAAGTGTTTTCTTCAGAAAACCAGCATCTACGGCAATGATGCCTTCTCACAGCGAAGGGAAGAAATTAGGAAATATCGACTCTGAAATGATTTTACAACTTACACCACGGATTTACGTCTTCAGTGCCAAGGCCTTTGGAAGTAGGCAGCTAGGAGATCATAAACCTCTCATAAAAAGGGTCATGTTTTACCGACCTCAAACTATTGTCCCTTAGCCTCCGTCACCACACTCCCACGTCTTCATGGCCAACAGGCTGCTCCAACTATGCTCACATAACCGTTCATTTCTAGCAAACATCAACTCCAATCATAAGGGAAGACATTGTCTGACACTGCGACACCCACAACCGAATGAACAACGGATTCAAATGGATCACAGTGCCACCAGTCATTATTGGAGAGGCTCGATAATAGACAGCCGCTCATTATAGAGCACATGTCTAGACTTTGATCATATCCTAGTGAGAACACATGTTTGTCTGTATCTTACTGAAAACATAAAGGTCATAGCAAGAAGACCTCTTAGAGTTCGACTTAATGGTGAAACAGTCAAGCGTACATTTCAGCAGCAAATAGAAAATCAGTTAACTAACCATGAAAGTGATATCCACTCCAAGGTAGCTTGGTATGATATTTAAACAAATTTATAAACAGCAGTAATATCTATCAGTAAATTAAACTAAAGCGTTGAGAAACGTCAATGGATTTCCGTAGAGTCCACTGAACTGATAGATGCCCAGAAACTCATCCGTCTAACTCCAAACACGATGAGGAGTGAGAGCAGCTTACATGTAGACGGATCAAAAGCCTAAGCAATGATCGTGAGCAGCGGTGGGCAGAGAAAGCAAAAGTGATGGAAAAGGCAGCAGTAGTAGTTAACAGTAGACAACTATTCAGACTTATCAAGCGAACAGGTTTTAATAATCCGGCTGTTAGTGAGACTATCTCAAGACTATTATTCACTCTCAACCCATGAGATTAGACCGATATGCCGAATATTTTAGGCAACAGTTCAACTGACCTCCTGCTACCCTTCAGTTACCCACTATCGCCAAACAGCCTGAAAGGAAAATCAACATCAGCCCTCAAACTCTTAGTGAGGTTGAAAAATCTATAACTAATCTAAAGTGACATAGAGCAGCAGGTTCAAATGGGTTAGCTCTGGAGATCTCTAAAGATAGTAGTCTAGTTTGCCAGTCAGATCGACTGAGATCATAATTAGAATATGGGAATTAGACATAATCCCATCTGACTGGTCTCGATCGTTGATTCTCCCAGTTTATAAGAAAGCACAGAAATCTCCCTAGTCGTGACCACAAAGGAATCTGTTTGAATAATATAACACCTAATATATTTCCCCCAATAACCAGGGCTCGTGAAGAGAGAAATCGGGACAGTCAGACTCGGTTCAAACCTAGACGTGAACGTAACAACCAAATATCCACCCTTTGTCAAGTCCTGGAACATAAACATACTTCCCGACATCCGACTACAGTGTATTTCTTAACCTTAGACTTTAAGGCAGTTTTCGACCCTGTCGAATGTGAGGTTCTGTGGTAGTGTTTGTCATTAAAAGGCATACCAAACAAGTACATCAAATTTGTAGAGGTTCTTCACTTCAACACTATTGGTCAAGTTAAAGTTTATCGAGAACTGTCAACCTCAAGTAGTGTTCCTCAGGATTGTGCAGTTTCTCCACTCTTATTTAACTTCGTCATCGATATCCTTTTAAAAATAATACTCTCATAGTCTGACTTTTCAGAGGTCGGTCTTCTACCAGAAGATCCGCTTATTGATTTTGAATACCCAAGTGATATCGTGCTGTTTGGTAAAGACGCTGAAAAGATATTGAGACCACTGTTGCCTTAAGCAATAATGCGAGCATGTTTAAGACGCGATTCTCTCCCTATAAATCAAAATTGTTAATTCAAAACTGGGCTGCGTCAACCTCTGCATTAATGATAGGGAGTGAAGTAGCTGAGCATGTCGATCACTTATAATTTATCTTGGACGTCTCATCAGTCCTGATGAATAGGTATTTGATGAAACCACGACACGGAATCAAAACGTTCGGTCGGCTTTTGTGTCACTCACGAAGTGGGTGAGATATTAGTCTGTCAATCAAAGGACGAGTTTACTAATCAACAATTCGCTTGGTTCTACTTTATGGGTGTCAAACATAGTCAATAAGAACAGAGAATGTTCTCAGCTCACTATTATTCGATCATAGGTGAATCGATACACAGATCATACATTTTTGTCTGCCGAGTGAGCAATGCTGAAGTTACGCATAGGATACTAAGTACAGATTGCCAAATCGATTGATCAGGAAGTGAATATTCATCGGCTGAGGTGGTTCGTATATGTCTCGCCTATGTCCAATCACCGCCTAAATCAACGAGCGATATTGTCCAGTATACAAGTAGACCAGGACAAAGCTAGGTGGGGCCAAGAGAAGCCATGTCACTAGCCCATGAAGCCATTGATAATTAGACTGATTCATATTAATCACTGTAGAATACCTATGTGTGGTCGCGTAATTATCGTAACCAATTGCAAGAGACTATGGATAACAAGCCTGAGAATGGTTCGCAATACCCCAAACACATTCACTCACTACCTTCCCTCAAAACATCATTGATGAATTAACACTTTCAATACCCAATCGCCTTTACAAATACAAAAAATGTTACTAAATCTACAACTCAACAATTTGTAGAAAAAAATATTAGTATCTAACACCAAATACCCAAAATCATATACTGCAAAAAAACGCAAACGCACGTCAAACATCAATAAACAAACAACCACAACGACTGAAAAAAACACATACCGTCTGGAATCGCAACATCATCTTCACAACGGTAAGGGATCGGTGACAATGCCTGGAGAGAGGACACTGGTAGCTTCAACATCTCGCTATTATCTCTCGAAACATTCTTCTCTTCATCTAAAACAACACCTACAAAGTTAACAATAAAACACAGTTAGCAAAAATAAGGACATCAAAACAGTAACTGCTAAATGGATATGGTGGTTGGGCTTGCATATCGTGGTCACTTAATCGATTTATATGGGCTGTAATACTTGTTCGTTTAGGTATTATCATAACATGCAGGTCGGTTTGGAGAACGGTCAGTATGAAATTAGTAACCTCAGGTCTGAAGGAGAAGTCATACTGCTAATTGTACAGTCGTGTGATAACAGTAAAGTGTTTTCTTCAGAAAACCAGCATCTACGGCAATGATGCCTTCTCACAGCGAAGGGAAGAAATTAGGAAATATCGACTCTGAAATGATTTTACAACTTACACCACGGATTTACGTCTTCAGTGCCAAGGCCTTTGGAAGTAGGCAGCTAGGAGATCATAAACCTCTCATAAAAAGGGTCATGTTTTACCGACCTCAAACTATTGTCCCTTAGCCTCCGTCACCACACTCCCACGTCTTCATGGCCAACAGGCTGCTCCAACTATGCTCACATAACCGTTCATTTCTAGCAAACATCAACTCCAATCATAAGGGAAGACATTGTCTGACACTGCGACACCCACAACCGAATGAACAACGGATTCAAATGGATCACAGTGCCACCAGTCATTATTGGAGAGGCTCGATAATAGACAGCCGCTCATTATAGAGCACATGTCTAGACTTTGATCATATCCTAGTGAGAACACATGTTTGTCTGTATCTTACTGAAAACATAAAGGTCATAGCAAGAAGACCTCTTAGAGTTCGACTTAATGGTGAAACAGTCAAGCGTACATTTCAGCAGCAAATAGAAAATCAGTTAACTAACCATGAAAGTGATATCCACTCCAAGGTAGCTTGGTATGATATTTAAACAAATTTATAAACAGCAGTAATATCTATCAGTAAATTAAACTAAAGCGTTGAGAAACGTCAATGGATTTCCGTAGAGTCCACTGAACTGATAGATGCCCAGAAACTCATCCGTCTAACTCCAAACACGATGAGGAGTGAGAGCAGCTTACATGTAGACGGATCAAAAGCCTAAGCAATGATCGTGAGCAGCGGTGGGCAGAGAAAGCAAAAGTGATGGAAAAGGCAGCAGTAGTAGTTAACAGTAGACAACTATTCAGACTTATCAAGCGAACAGGTTTTAATAATCCGGCTGTTAGTGAGACTATCTCAAGACTATTATTCACTCTCAACCCATGAGATTAGACCGATATGCCGAATATTTTAGGCAACAGTTCAACTGACCTCCTGCTACCCTTCAGTTACCCACTATCGCCAAACAGCCTGAAAGGAAAATCAACATCAGCCCTCAAACTCTTAGTGAGGTTGAAAAATCTATAACTAATCTAAAGTGACATAGAGCAGCAGGTTCAAATGGGTTAGCTCTGGAGATCTCTAAAGATAGTAGTCTAGTTTGCCAGTCAGATCGACTGAGATCATAATTAGAATATGGGAATTAGACATAATCCCATCTGACTGGTCTCGATCGTTGATTCTCCCAGTTTATAAGAAAGCACAGAAATCTCCCTAGTCGTGACCACAAAGGAATCTGTTTGAATAATATAACACCTAATATATTTCCCCCAATAACCAGGGCTCGTGAAGAGAGAAATCGGGACAGTCAGACTCGGTTCAAACCTAGACGTGAACGTAACAACCAAATATCCACCCTTTGTCAAGTCCTGGAACATAAACATACTTCCCGACATCCGACTACAGTGTATTTCTTAACCTTAGACTTTAAGGCAGTTTTCGACCCTGTCGAATGTGAGGTTCTGTGGTAGTGTTTGTCATTAAAAGGCATACCAAACAAGTACATCAAATTTGTAGAGGTTCTTCACTTCAACACTATTGGTCAAGTTAAAGTTTATCGAGAACTGTCAACCTCAAGTAGTGTTCCTCAGGATTGTGCAGTTTCTCCACTCTTATTTAACTTCGTCATCGATATCCTTTTAAAAATAATACTCTCATAGTCTGACTTTTCAGAGGTCGGTCTTCTACCAGAAGATCCGCTTATTGATTTTGAATACCCAAGTGATATCGTGCTGTTTGGTAAAGACGCTGAAAAGATATTGAGACCACTGTTGCCTTAAGCAATAATGCGAGCATGTTTAAGACGCGATTCTCTCCCTATAAATCAAAATTGTTAATTCAAAACTGGGCTGCGTCAACCTCTGCATTAATGATAGGGAGTGAAGTAGCTGAGCATGTCGATCACTTATAATTTATCTTGGACGTCTCATCAGTCCTGATGAATAGGTATTTGATGAAACCACGACACGGAATCAAAACGTTCGGTCGGCTTTAGTGTCACTCACGAAGTGGGTGAGATATTAGTCTGTCAATCAAAGGACGAGTTTACTAATCAACAATTCGCTTGGTTCTACTTTATGGGTGTCAAACATAGCCAATAAGAACAGAGAATGTTCTCAGCTCACTATTATTCGATCATAGGTGAACCGATACACAGATCATACATTTTTGTCTGCCGAGTGAGCAATGCTGAAGTTACGCATAGGATACTAAGTACAGATTGCCAAATCGATTGATCAGGAAGTGAATATTCATCGGCTGAGGTGGTTCGTATATGTCTCGCCTATGTCCAATCACCGCCTAAATCAACGAGCGATATTGTCCAGTATACAAGTAGACCAGGACAAAGCTAGGTGGGGCCAAGAGAAGCCATGTCACTAGCCCATGAAGCCATTGATAATTAGACTGATTCATATTAATCACTGTAGAATACCTATGTGTGGTCGCGTAATTATCGTAACCAATTGCAAGAGACTATGGATAACAAGCCTGAGAATGGTTGGCAATACCCCAAACACATTCACTCACTACCTTCCCTCAAAACATCATTGATGAATTAACACTTTCAATACCCAATCGCCTTTACAAATACAAAAAATGTTACTAAATCTACAACTCAACAATTTGTAGAAAAAAATATTAGTATCTAACACCAAATACCCAAAATCATATACTGCAAAAAAACGCAAACGCACGTCAAACATCAATAAACAAACAACCACAACGACTGAAAAAAACACATACCGTCTGGAATCGCAACATCATCTTCACAACGGTAAGGGATCGGTGACAATGCCTGTAGAGAGGACACTGGTAACTTCAACATCTCGCTATTATCTCTCGAAACATTCTTCTCTTCATCTAAAACAACACCTACAAAGTTAACAATAAAACACAGTTAGCAAAAATAAGGACATCAAAACAGTAACTGCTAAATGGATATGGTGGTTGGGCTTGCATATCGTGGTCACTTAATCGATTTATATGGGCTGTAATACTTGTTCGTTTAGGTATTATCATAACATGCAGGTCGGTTTGGAGAATGGTCAGTGTGAAATTAGTAACCTCAGGTCTGAAGGAGAAGTCATACTGCTAATTGTACAGTCGTGTGATAACAGTAAAGTGTTTTCTTCAGAAAACCAGCATCTACGGCAATGATGCCTTCTCACAGCGAAGGGAAGAAATTAGGAAATATCGACTCTGAAATGATTTTACAACTTACACCACGGATTTACGTCTTCAGTGCCAAGGCCTTTGGAAGTAGGCAGCTAGGAGATCATAAACCTCTCATAAAAAGGGTCATGTTTTACCGACCTCAAACTATTGTCCCTTAGCCTCCGTCACCACACTCCCACGTCTTCATGGCCAACAGGCTGCTCCAACTATGCTCACATAACCGTTCATTTCTAGCAAACATCAACTCCAATCATAAGGGAAGACATTGTCTGACACTGCGACACCCACAACCGAATGACTTATCAAGCGAACAGGTTTTAATAATCCGGCTGTTAGTGAGACTATCTCAAGACTATTATTCACTCTCAACCCATGAGATTAGACCGATATGCCGAATATTTTAGGCAACAGTTCAACTGACCTCCTGCTACCCTTCAGTTACCCACTATCGCCAAACAGCCTGAAAGGAAAATCAACATCAGCCCTCAAACTCTTAGTGAGGTTGAAAAATCTATAACTAATCTAAAGTGACATAGAGCAGCAGGTTCAAATGGGTTAGCTCTGGAGATCTCTAAAGATAGTAGTCTAGTTTGCCAGTCAGATCGACTGAGATCATAATTAGAATATGGGAATTAGACATAATCCCATCTGACTGGTCTCGATCGTTGATTCTCCCAGTTTATAAGAAAGCACAGAAATCTCCCTAGTCGTGACCACAAAGGAATCTGTTTGAATAATATAACACCTAATATATTTCCCCCAATAACCAGGGCTCGTGAAGAGAGAAATCGGGACAGTCAGACTCGGTTCAAACCTAGACGTGAACGTAACAACCAAATATCCACCCTTTGTCAAGTCCTGGAACATAAACATACTTCCCGACATCCGACTACAGTGTATTTCTTAACCTTAGACTTTAAGGCAGTTTTCGACCCTGTCGAATGTGAGGTTCTGTGGTAGTGTTTGTCATTAAAAGGCATACCAAACAAGTACATCAAATTTGTAGAGGTTCTTCACTTCAACACTATTGGTCAAGTTAAAGTTTATCGAGAACTGTCAACCTCAAGTAGTGTTCCTCAGGATTGTGCAGTTTCTCCACTCTTATTTAACTTCGTCATCGATATCCTTTTAAAAATAATACTCTCATAGTCTGACTTTTCAGAGGTCGGTCTTCTACCAGAAGATCCGCTTATTGATTTTGAATACCCAAGTGATATCGTGCTGTTTGGTAAAGACGCTGAAAAGATATTGAGACCACTGTTGCCTTAAGCAATAATGCGAGCATGTTTAAGACGCGATTCTCTCCCTATAAATCAAAATTGTTAATTCAAAACTGGGCTGCGTCAACCTCTGCATTAATGATAGGGAGTGAAGTAGCTGAGCATGTCGATCATTTATAATTTATCTTGGACGTCTCATCAGTCCTGATGAATAGGTATTTGATGAAACCACGACACGGAATCAAAACGTTCGGTCGGCTTTTGTGTCACTCACGAAGTGGGTGAGATATTAGTCTGTCAATCAAAGGACGAGTTTACTAATCAACAATTCGCTTGGTTCTACTTTATGGGTGTCAAACATAGCCAATAAGAACAGAGAATGTTCTCAGCTCACTATTATTCGATCATAGGTGAACCGATACACAGATCATACATTTTTGTCTGCCGAGTGAGCAATGCTGAAGTTACGCATAGGATACTAAGTACAGATTGCCAAATCGATTGATCAGGAAGTGAATATTCATCGGCTGAGGTGGTTCGTATATGTCTCGCCTATGTCCAATCACCGCCTAAATCAACGAGCGATATTGTCCAGTATACAAGTAGACCAGGACAAAGCTAGGTGGGGCCAAGAGAAGCCATGTCACTAGCCCATGAAGCCATTGATAATTAGACTGATTCATATTAATCACTGTAGAATACCTATGTGTGGTCGCGTAATTATCGTAACCAATTGCAAGAGACTATGGATAACAAGCCTGAGAATGGTTGGCAATACCCCAAACACATTCACTCACTACCTTCCCTCAAAACATCATTGATGAATTAACACTTTCAATACCCAATCGCCTTTACAAATACAAAAAATGTTACTAAATCTACAACTCAACAATTTGTAGAAAAAAATATTAGTATCTAACACCAAATACCCAAAATCATATACTGCAAAAAAACGCAAACGCACGTCAAACATCAATAAACAAACAACCACAACGACTGAAAAAAACACATACCGTCTGGAATCGCAACATCATCTTCACAACGGTAAGGGATCGGTGATAATCCTTGGAGAGAGGATTCCGGTGGCTCCAACGTCTCGCTATTATCTCTCGAAACATTCTTCTCTTCATCTAAAACAACACCTACAAAGTTAACAATAAAACACAGTTAGCAAAAATAAGGACATCAAAACAGTAACTGCTAAATGGATATGGTGGTTGGGCTTGCATATCGTGGTCACTTAATCGATTTATATGGGCTGTAATACTTGTTCGTTTAGGTATTATCATAACATGCAGGTCGGTTTGGAGAACGGTCAGTATGAAATTAGTAACCTCAGGTCTGAAGGAGAAGTCATACTGCTAATTGTACAGTCGTGTGATAACAGTAAAGTGTTTTCTTCAGAAAACCAGCATCTACGGCAATGATGCCTTCTCACAGCGAAGGGAAGAAATTAGGAAATATCGACTCTGAAATGATTTTACAACTTACACCACGGATTTACGTCTTCAGTGCCAAGGCCTTTGGAAGTAGGCAGCTAGGAGATCATAAACCTCTCATAAAAAGGGTCATGTTTTACCGACCTCAAACTATTGTCCCTTAGCCTCCGTCACCACACTCCCACGTCTTCATGGCCAACAGGCTGCTCCAACTATGCTCACATAACCGTTCATTTCTAGCAAACATCAACTCCAATCATAAGGGAAGACATTGTCTGACACTGCGACACCCACAACCGAATGAACAACGGATTCAAATGGATCACAGTGCCACCAGTCATTATTGGAGAGGCTCGATAATAGACAGCCGCTCATTATAGAGCACATGTCTAGACTTTGATCATATCCTAGTGAGAACACATGTTTGTCTGTATCTTACTGAAAACATAAAGGTCATAGCAAGAAGACCTCTTAGAGTTCGACTTAATGGTGAAACAGTCAAGCGTACATTTCAGCAGCAAATAGAAAATCAGTTAACTAACCATGAAAGTGATATCCACTCCAAGGTAGCTTGGTATGATATTTAAACAAATTTATAAACAGCAGTAATATCTATCAGTAAATTAAACTAAAGCGTTGAGAAACGTCAATGGATTTCCGTAGAGTCCACTGAACTGATAGATGCCCAGAAACTCATCCGTCTAACTCCAAACACGATGAGGAGTGAGAGCAGCTTACATGTAGACGGATCAAAAGCCTAAGCAATGATCGTGAGCAGCGGTGGGCAGAGAAAGCAAAAGTGATGGAAAAGGCAGCAGTAGTAGTTAACAGTAGACAACTATTCAGACTTATCAAGCGAACAGGTTTTAATAATCCGGCTGTTAGTGAGACTATCTCAAGACTATTATTCACTCTCAACCCATGAGATTAGACCGATATGCCGAATATTTTAGGCAACAGTTCAACTGACCTCCTGCTACCCTTCAGTTACCCACTATCGCCAAACAGCCTGAAAGGAAAATCAACATCAGCCCTCAAACTCTTAGTGAGGTTGAAAAATCTATAACTAATCTAAAGTGACATAGAGCAGCAGGTTCAAATGGGTTAGCTCTGGAGATCTCTAAAGATAGTAGTCTAGTTTGCCAGTCAGATCGACTGAGATCATAATTAGAATATGGGAATTAGACATAATCCCATCTGACTGGTCTCGATCGTTGATTCTCCCAGTTTATAAGAAAGCACAGAAATCTCCCTAGTCGTGACCACAAAGGAATCTGTTTGAATAATATAACACCTAATATATTTCCCCCAATAACCAGGGCTCGTGAAGAGAGAAATCGGGACAGTCAGACTCGGTTCAAACCTAGACGTGAACGTAACAACCAAATATCCACCCTTTGTCAAGTCCTGGAACATAAACATACTTCCCGACATCCGACTACAGTGTATTTCTTAACCTTAGACTTTAAGGCAGTTTTCGACCCTGTCGAATGTGAGGTTCTGTGGTAGTGTTTGTCATTAAAAGGCATACCAAACAAGTACATCAAATTTGTAGAGGTTCTTCACTTCAACACTATTGGTCAAGTTAAAGTTTATCGAGAACTGTCAACCTCAAGTAGTGTTCCTCAGGATTGTGCAGTTTCTCCACTCTTATTTAACTTCGTCATCGATATCCTTTTAAAAATAATACTCTCATAGTCTGACTTTTCAGAGGTCGGTCTTCTACCAGAAGATCCGCTTATTGATTTTGAATACCCAAGTGATATCGTGCTGTTTGGTAAAGACGCTGAAAAGATATTGAGACCACTGTTGCCTTAAGCAATAATGCGAGCATGTTTAAGACGCGATTCTCTCCCTATAAATCAAAATTGTTAATTCAAAACTGGGCTGCGTCAACCTCTGCATTAATGATAGGGAGTGAAGTAGCTGAGCATGTCGATCACTTATAATTTATCTTGGACGTCTCATCAGTCCTGATGAATAGGTATTTGATGAAACCACGACACGGAATCAAAACGTTCGGTCGGCTTTTGTGTCACTCACGAAGTGGGTGAGATATTAGTCTGTCAATCAAAGGACGAGTTTACTAATCAACAATTCGCTTGGTTCTACTTTATGGGTGTCAAACATAGCCAATAAGAACAGAGAATGTTCTCAGCTCACTATTATTCGATCATAGGTGAACCGATACACAGATCATACATTTTTGTCTGCCGAGTGAGCAATGCTGAAGTTACGCATAGGATACTAAGTACAGATTGCCAAATCGATTGATCAGGAAGTGAATATTCATCGGCTGAGGTGGTTCGTATATGTCTCGCCTATGTCCAATCACCGCCTAAATCAACGAGCGATATTGTCCAGTATACAAGTAGACCAGGACAAAGCTAGGTGGGGCCAAGAGAAGCCATGTCACTAGCCCATGAAGCCATTGATAATTAGACTGATTCATATTAATCACTGTAGAATACCTATGTGTGGTCGCGTAATTATCGTAACCAATTGCAAGAGACTATGGATAACAAGCCTGAGAATGGTTCGCAATACCCCAAACACATTCACTCACTACCTTCCCTCAAAACATCATTGATGAATTAACACTTTCAATACCCAATCGCCTTTACAAATACAAAAAATGTTACTAAATCTACAACTCAACAATTTGTAGAAAAAAATATTAGTATCTAACACCAAATACCCAAAATCATATACTGCAAAAAAACGCAAACGCACGTCAAACATCAATAAACAAACAACCACAACGACTGAAAAAAACACATACCGTCTGGAATCGCAACATCATCTTCACAACGGTAAGGGATCGGTGACAATGCCTGTAGAGAGGACACTGGTAACTTCAACATCTCGCTATTATCTCTCGAAACATTCTTCTCTTCATCTAAAACAACACCTACAAAGTTAACAATAAAACACAGTTAGCAAAAATAAGGACATCAAAACAGTAACTGCTAAATGGATATGGTGGTTGGGCTTGCATATCGTGGTCACTTAATCGATTTATATGGGCTGTAATACTTGTTCGTTTAGGTATTATCATAACATGCAGGTCGGTTTGGAGAATGGTCAGTGTGAAATTAGTAACCTCAGGTCTGAAGGAGAAGTCATACTGCTAATTGTACAGTCGTGTGATAACAGTAAAGTGTTTTCTTCAGAAAACCAGCATCTACGGCAATGATGCCTTCTCACAGCGAAGGGAAGAAATTAGGAAATATCGACTCTGAAATGATTTTACAACTTACACCACGGATTTACGTCTTCAGTGCCAAGGCCTTTGGAAGTAGGCAGCTAGGAGATCATAAACCTCTCATAAAAAGGGTCATGTTTTACCGACCTCAAACTATTGTCCCTTAGCCTCCGTCACCACACTCCCACGTCTTCATGGCCAACAGGCTGCTCCAACTATGCTCACATAACCGTTCATTTCTAGCAAACATCAACTCCAATCATAAGGGAAGACATTGTCTGACACTGCGACACCCACAACCGAATGACTTATCAAGCGAACAGGTTTTAATAATCCGGCTGTTAGTGAGACTATCTCAAGACTATTATTCACTCTCAACCCATGAGATTAGACCGATATGCCGAATATTTTAGGCAACAGTTCAACTGACCTCCTGCTACCCTTCAGTTACCCACTATCGCCAAACAGCCTGAAAGGAAAATCAACATCAGCCCTCAAACTCTTAGTGAGGTTGAAAAATCTATAACTAATCTAAAGTGACATAGAGCAGCAGGTTCAAATGGGTTAGCTCTGGAGATCTCTAAAGATAGTAGTCTAGTTTGCCAGTCAGATCGACTGAGATCATAATTAGAATATGGGAATTAGACATAATCCCATCTGACTGGTCTCGATCGTTGATTCTCCCAGTTTATAAGAAAGCACAGAAATCTCCCTAGTCGTGACCACAAAGGAATCTGTTTGAATAATATAACACCTAATATATTTCCCCCAATAACCAGGGCTCGTGAAGAGAGAAATCGGGACAGTCAGACTCGGTTCAAACCTAGACGTGAACGTAACAACCAAATATCCACCCTTTGTCAAGTCCTGGAACATAAACATACTTCCCGACATCCGACTACAGTGTATTTCTTAACCTTAGACTTTAAGGCAGTTTTCGACCCTGTCGAATGTGAGGTTCTGTGGTAGTGTTTGTCATTAAAAGGCATACCAAACAAGTACATCAAATTTGTAGAGGTTCTTCACTTCAACACTATTGGTCAAGTTAAAGTTTATCGAGAACTGTCAACCTCAAGTAGTGTTCCTCAGGATTGTGCAGTTTCTCCACTCTTATTTAACTTCGTCATCGATATCCTTTTAAAAATAATACTCTCATAGTCTGACTTTTCAGAGGTCGGTCTTCTACCAGAAGATCCGCTTATTGATTTTGAATACCCAAGTGATATCGTGCTGTTTGGTAAAGACGCTGAAAAGATATTGAGACCACTGTTGCCTTAAGCAATAATGCGAGCATGTTTAAGACGCGATTCTCTCCCTATAAATCAAAATTGTTAATTCAAAACTGGGCTGCGTCAACCTCTGCATTAATGATAGGGAGTGAAGTAGCTGAGCATGTCGATCATTTATAATTTATCTTGGACGTCTCATCAGTCCTGATGAATAGGTATTTGATGAAACCACGACACGGAATCAAAACGTTCGGTCGGCTTTTGTGTCACTCACGAAGTGGGTGAGATATTAGTCTGTCAATCAAAGGACGAGTTTACTAATCAACAATTCGCTTGGTTCTACTTTATGGGTGTCAAACATAGCCAATAAGAACAGAGAATGTTCTCAGCTCACTATTATTCGATCATAGGTGAACCGATACACAGATCATACATTTTTGTCTGCCGAGTGAGCAATGCTGAAGTTACGCATAGGATACTAAGTACAGATTGCCAAATCGATTGATCAGGAAGTGAATATTCATCGGCTGAGGTGGTTCGTATATGTCTCGCCTATGTCCAATCACCGCCTAAATCAACGAGCGATATTGTCCAGTATACAAGTAGACCAGGACAAAGCTAGGTGGGGCCAAGAGAAGCCATGTCACTAGCCCATGAAGCCATTGATAATTAGACTGATTCATATTAATCACTGTAGAATACCTATGTGTGGTCGCGTAATTATCGTAACCAATTGCAAGAGACTATGGATAACAAGCCTGAGAATGGTTGGCAATACCCCAAACACATTCACTCACTACCTTCCCTCAAAACATCATTGATGAATTAACACTTTCAATACCCAATCGCCTTTACAAATACAAAAAATGTTACTAAATCTACAACTCAACAATTTGTAGAAAAAAATATTAGTATCTAACACCAAATACCCAAAATCATATACTGCAAAAAAACGCAAACGCACGTCAAACATCAATAAACAAACAACCACAACGACTGAAAAAAACACATACCGTCTGAACACAACGACTGAAAAAAACACATACCGTCTGGAATCGCAACATCATCTTCACAACGGTAAGGGATCGGTGACAATGCCTGTAGAGAGGACACTGGTAACTTCAACATCTCGCTATTATCTCTCGAAACATTCTTCTCTTCATCTAAAACAACACCTACAAAGTTAACAATAAAACACAGTTAGCAAAAATAAGGACATCAAAACAGTAACTGCTAAATGGATATGGTGGTTGGGCTTGCATATCGTGGTCACTTAATCGATTTATATGGGCTGTAATACTTGTTCGTTTAGGTATTATCATAACATGCAGGTCGGTTTGGAGAATGGTCAGTGTGAAATTAGTAACCTCAGGTCTGAAGGAGAAGTCATACTGCTAATTGTACAGTCGTGTGATAACAGTAAAGTGTTTTCTTCAGAAAACCAGCATCTACGGCAATGATGCCTTCTCACAGCGAAGGGAAGAAATTAGGAAATATCGACTCTGAAATGATTTTACAACTTACACCACGGATTTACGTCTTCAGTGCCAAGGCCTTTGGAAGTAGGCAGCTAGGAGATCATAAACCTCTCATAAAAAGGGTCATGTTTTACCGACCTCAAACTATTGTCCCTTAGCCTCCGTCACCACACTCCCACGTCTTCATGGCCAACAGGCTGCTCCAACTATGCTCACATAACCGTTCATTTCTAGCAAACATCAACTCCAATCATAAGGGAAGACATTGTCTGACACTGCGACACCCACAACCGAATGACTTATCAAGCGAACAGGTTTTAATAATCCGGCTGTTAGTGAGACTATCTCAAGACTATTATTCACTCTCAACCCATGAGATTAGACCGATATGCCGAATATTTTAGGCAACAGTTCAACTGACCTCCTGCTACCCTTCAGTTACCCACTATCGCCAAACAGCCTGAAAGGAAAATCAACATCAGCCCTCAAACTCTTAGTGAGGTTGAAAAATCTATAACTAATCTAAAGTGACATAGAGCAGCAGGTTCAAATGGGTTAGCTCTGGAGATCTCTAAAGATAGTAGTCTAGTTTGCCAGTCAGATCGACTGAGATCATAATTAGAATATGGGAATTAGACATAATCCCATCTGACTGGTCTCGATCGTTGATTCTCCCAGTTTATAAGAAAGCACAGAAATCTCCCTAGTCGTGACCACAAAGGAATCTGTTTGAATAATATAACACCTAATATATTTCCCCCAATAACCAGGGCTCGTGAAGAGAGAAATCGGGACAGTCAGACTCGGTTCAAACCTAGACGTGAACGTAACAACCAAATATCCACCCTTTGTCAAGTCCTGGAACATAAACATACTTCCCGACATCCGACTACAGTGTATTTCTTAACCTTAGACTTTAAGGCAGTTTTCGACCCTGTCGAATGTGAGGTTCTGTGGTAGTGTTTGTCATTAAAAGGCATACCAAACAAGTACATCAAATTTGTAGAGGTTCTTCACTTCAACACTATTGGTCAAGTTAAAGTTTATCGAGAACTGTCAACCTCAAGTAGTGTTCCTCAGGATTGTGCAGTTTCTCCACTCTTATTTAACTTCGTCATCGATATCCTTTTAAAAATAATACTCTCATAGTCTGACTTTTCAGAGGTCGGTCTTCTACCAGAAGATCCGCTTATTGATTTTGAATACCCAAGTGATATCGTGCTGTTTGGTAAAGACGCTGAAAAGATATTGAGACCACTGTTGCCTTAAGCAATAATGCGAGCATGTTTAAGACGCGATTCTCTCCCTATAAATCAAAATTGTTAATTCAAAACTGGGCTGCGTCAACCTCTGCATTAATGATAGGGAGTGAAGTAGCTGAGCATGTCGATCACTTATAATTTATCTTGGACGTCTCATCAGTCCTGATGAATAGGTATTTGATGAAACCACGACACGGAATCAAAACGTTCGGTCGGCTTTTGTGTCACTCACGAAGTGGGTGAGATATTAGTCTGTCAATCAAAGGACGAGTTTACTAATCAACAATTCGCTTGGTTCTACTTTATGGGTGTCAAACATAGCCAATAAGAACAGAGAATGTTCTCAGCTCACTATTATTCGATCATAGGTGAACCGATACACAGATCATACATTTTTGTCTGCCGAGTGAGCAATGCTGAAGTTACGCATAGGATACTAAGTACAGATTGCCAAATCGATTGATCAGGAAGTGAATATTCATCGGCTGAGGTGGTTCGTATATGTCTCGCCTATGTCCAATCATCGCCTAAATCAACGAGCGATATTGTCCAGTATACAAGTAGACCAGGACAAAGCTAGGTGGGGCCAAGAGAAGCCATGTCACTAGCCCATGAAGCCATTGATAATTAGACTGATTCATATTAATCACTGTAGAATACCTATGTGTGGTCGCGTAATTATCGTAACCAATTGCAAGAGACTATGGATAACAAGCCTGAGAATGGTTCGCAATACCCCAAACACATTCACTCACTACCTTCCCTCAAAACATCATTGATGAATTAACACTTTCAATACCCAATCGCCTTTACAAATACAAAAAATGTTACTAAATCTACAACTCAACAATTTGTAGAAAAAAATATTAGTATCTAACACCAAATACCCAAAATCATATACTGCAAAAAAACGCAAACGCACGTCAAACATCAATAAACAAACAACCACAACGACTGAAAAAAACACATACCGTCTGGAATCGCAACATCATCTTCATAACGGTAAGGGATCGGTGACAATGCCTGTAGAGAGGACACTGGTAACTTCAACATCTCGCTATTATCTCTCGAAACATTCTTCTCTTCATCTAAAACAACACCTACAAAGTTAACAATAAAACACAGTTAGCAAAAATAAGGACATCAAAACAGTAACTGCTAAATGGATATGGTGGTTGGGCTTGCATATCGTGGTCACTTAATCGATTTATATGGGCTGTAATACTTGTTCGTTTAGGTATTATCATAACATGCAGGTCGGTTTGGAGAATGGTCAGTGTGAAATTAGTAACCTCAGTTCTGATGGAGATGTCAAAATTATCTAACGTTGCTAAGTGTTTTTTTTTGTTCGTTGATATCGAAACGTCGGTTCATGGATGTTTTTTATAAATACTGGCATTCCATGTTGGTTGTTAGTTTATTTATTTGTATTGGGTGACTACTTTACTGTGGAGATTTTACGTCGTCTCGAATGTACGGTAAATTTTGCTAAAATGTTACTTTGTGGTTACGGAATGCTGTTCGAATTTTTTCATTTAATTGTAGCAGCTATGTATCGTCAACGTCTTTCGACTTTTTGTCTGTTCAATTTCTTACTGTACGAAACTATGTAAAGGAAACGGAACTACTCCGTTTTTGTTCTACAATGATTGATGATAGTAGTTCCTTGTCTGAAGGATTTTCTCTGCCTTTTAATTAATGTAGCACGCTGCTTACAGTAAATATTTAACGTACGTCTGAGTGTTGTATTATTAGTGTTTGTGTGCTTACCTTAAAATCAGTATTTTACTTCTTTTAAATCTTTCAAAAATATTTATTAAGTTCTGCATTTTTTGAACTTTGACTCTTGAGTTTAGAAGACTTTCATAGCAACCACTGGAAATTTTCGAGATTTAATGACATGATACTTTTAAAGATTTCTGAAATATTTAAAAATGTGACTTTTTACTAATTTTTAATCACTTACTATTTTTTCGACGCTTCTTCACTAATTGCCCGGAATCAACAATATCATCTTCTTCTGATTCAAGGAAACAATCTGTGATGACTATGCTAACTGGTTTGATTAAGGGTAAAACAGAATCCACAGTCTCCGGATACAATTTACTATCACTTGAAGCACGAGAATATGTCAGTTGACTTAGCTGGAAAGTATTAATCAATATTTTAATAATCAAAAATATTAAATGACGGACAGCTTGTTTTATTGCTAGCAGCATAAACTAAGTCATTCTTCGTGGAGTAGTAACGTCCATAAGTAGAAAATCATATGCGTTTCTACAAATACCAAGGCTAAAACGTTTACTTCTATTCTAGACAAAATTGGTATTAGTTGGGAAACCACTAAAAACTAGGAAGCACTAGACGGATGTGTTAATTTAGTACAAGACTCCTTATCAGAGCCCATAACACGACCCCAACGAAGAAAGATAGCTGTCAATATCGCGTATTGACGAGTAAATAAATGGATGATGGTCAAAGAGACCTGAAGGTCCAAAGCTCGATTCCCGGAGGAGGGTCGTGGATGTTTTTCTTCTGTTATACACCAGATTATTAATTACCTAAAACCACTTTTATTTTACATTGATCAATTCTCTTTTCTTTTTCTACTTTAATTCAATTGACTCTTTTTGTCTAGATTGCGCTTTAATCAAATTTTCATGTTCAATTTATCTTATCATCTCATGTAACTAACTTTTCTAACTATCAGTTTTGTTAGATATTTTAATCAGAATTTTGTCTTAGTCTTTGGTCAAAAATAAGTATTTTTACAACTTTGAGAATGAATTCATGAAAAGTTATTTCACACAAATCTTTTCGTTAAATCATTGCCTACTGTATCAAGATTCTAAACAATAAAAAATAACAAGTATCACAGGGTAACTAATAAAAAACGATAACAAATTAAGAATATTACTAACTCGAGTTTTACTTGAAATTCGATACGCTTCTGATTTATAATCGTCCTCGAATTCATTTACTTAACAAAAAGTAAAATAATTAATAGCGAGAATAATAATAACAGTAGCAATGATAATAATAATGAGGAAAGTACTTATCAGTGTATCTTTAATATAACATCAATGAAAGTATACTAATCAAAATTGAGAGATCATTGATTGATTGTATGACAATGACAGCATACAATAATCTGTAATATATTTTACCGAATACAAGACTACATTTTCGGTTTTGAGAAACACTGTTTTTTTGAAGGCATTTCAAATTGAAGTAGAAGTGAGATATAAACCTGGATAGTTGAACCCCTTACCACTATACCACCGTCTCATATATTCTCATGAAATATTATCCTATATCATTCTTGAGCTATTTGAGTAATAATTGGTAAACATATTATTTATGAAAATCGTATCTAATTATGTTTGAAGATAAATTTATGTCACGAAATGAAATCAACCTCAGAATCAACATGAAAGGCTTAAATAAAACATTAACACTTCAGGCTTTTGATCGATGAAGTATTAGTTACTCAATTTCAGATTTTCATTTATACGCGATTCTATAAATAATAAGGATTTTTCAACCAGTATTATTGAATAATGATGTAAACGTGCAACGGAATACCACAAACATGTTGACAAAATATTCCATTATCTCAACAAAACTATTTATCAGTTAGTTTACCAAACAGATAAGTTACATTATTAAAAGTTTTTCTAAGTATCGTTTCCTTAATAAGTGTAAAGTGAGAATAAATTATACTAATTATAAGAACAAAAATCAGAATAATAACAGTACCCTTTGATAAAAGAAACAGTTACATAATATGAACATAATATGAATATAACCACTAACATATCATAGAAAGTTTATTTGATGTGGAAAAATAGGAAAAAAAATTTTATAAGCTAACAATGATTGAAAGAAAGACATGAAAAGTACACAGTAATAAGAGAAAGTCAATGGATTTCACCGAAGAAGTAACGAGAAAAGTCAACTTACATGACATTAAGGCAGAAATCCTATCTTGTTCCCCAAGAAGACGACGCTTTTTACTCGTAGTACCCTATAAAGTAACATTTTTTCCAATATTTGAAATGATTATTTTTATAAACAGTAAAAAAAATTATTTGAGAAAAAGAGGACACGTTTTCTGTTATATGATATAGCTAATTCGTAAAACCAGACATGTATAATCCACTTCAATTCTAAATGGATAAGAGGCAGCAGTCTAATGCTACTGACGATAACTAAATACTGAACAAACTACTATAGAAAAGCATACATATAATGGTAAAAATGAGCGCTTCCACTAAAATGTAAAAACTACAAAGAAATATGACTAACATCCTAGTAATTTTACATATTCGAATAATTAATGATATGATATACATACATTTCAATTATTTCAGTAGAATGATGATGGGAAAAAGTGCTCGAATACGTTTATTTCAACAGTTTGTCAATAAGCAGAATAACTACACATCATCACAACCCATAATTTCGTTTATTGAACAAGAACAAATTTCTGCACTTGCTATTAGGATGAAACGGCAGGTTTAGTGGTTAAGTTGTTTGACTTTTTAACAATTCACCTACTTCGTTTGTAACAACTGGCAAGTACTATCAGCAGTGTTATGTAGAAAGTGACCCAAAGTAAAATGTCAAGTGAACAAATTAAGTAAAAACTTAACTTTTTTAAATAAAAAACAATAATAATTCACCTTTACAGAGCACAGTTGTTGTACAGCCGATATAGATTGTGGAAAGGTACTGGATAAAGCAGTAACATTTATAGGAAGAGAAGGAAGATTAAAATTTACCGTCTTATTTTCAGAAAACGATGGACCTGAAGTAAAAGTCAATAATAAACATAATTTCATACATAACAATCGACCAAAAACAAAACCATAAAACTGATAGAGCATAAACAGGATGAATTCATTTCAAAGTGTTCTCATCTGCTGGTTAAAACCTAAAATATTAAAAATCACTATTATTGCAAAGTTTACATAGTAATAACTGTAAAATTGGATATATATTATCATGGTGAGGTAGTGAGACTGATGACATATAATGAGTGGTGCAAATTAATCTAATATATATGAGAGATTCTGGATCATCAGATATAGTAACAAGACACCATAGAGATAAAATAATGAATTGATTGTATGGTAAAGTAATTGAATAGAGAAAGGGAATTAATCAGTAAAGATTTCTAGTTTCCACTTTGCAACACCCGTTACATGTCATAAGTCTCACTACCTCACCATAATAATATATACCAAATTTCACAGTTATTACTATGTACAATTTGCAATAATACAGATTTTTAATATTTTGGGATTTAAGCAGCGGATGAGAACCTTAAAAAATAAACTCAATGCATATTATTCAATTTAACAGTTAGTAAGCGATAAACATCAAATAAAAAAAAAGAAGAAAAGAAGAGATACTAACAATCATACGACAATAGAAATAACGATGAGCCCACCACAAAAAATCAGAAGAATACCCAGGAACAAACAACATACAAAAATATGTAAACAGAAACAAACCAAGGAGTACAGAAAAACCAAAGAAACAAATATCATCCATAAAAACCAATAAAATACAAAATACAAACGCAGAAAATCTAACATCAGAAAACATGCATTCAAAAATCGAGAGAATCACAACAACAAAAGCAACACAACCATCAAAACACGCAAAAGCTTTTCAACAAATTTTAAAATAGTCAAACACACCACAGTCAATCAATTTCCGATCCATCGCCGTCAACACGCACACAGCTTTAGATTCACCCACTGTCAAAACAGAACACCCTGAAACGGTGCTCGCATCTCCGTTCACTGATCCTAAAACAATACAACCCATAATCAATATCAATAAAACAAGTCGTTCCTAACAAATAACACTCAACTGAACATCTACGAAAATATATCAAAATTACCTTTCTCAACTATGGGCTCTGCTAACACAGACTCGCTCAATCTCAATGGGGAAAACGATTCTGAAAGTATACAAAAACAATTACACAAAATGTTAAATGCTCATCATCACATCGATAACAAACACTCCACTGTCACATTCACAGTAACATTGAATATAATCATCAACGCAAGCACCAATATGACAAGCGAAACACAACACCCACATTATCACATAGACAAATATCCTAAACAAAACAAATATCAACCTTCTTATTCAACCCTCCACCACATAAACACTGACTACTCATATCCACCAACCACATAGAAACTCAATATCACACTTACCACCACTCCCCACATTCCCTCTGACCGTGCCTCTTCTCCCACGCCGTCTACCCACCATCATCTACAATAGAAACAACAACAACAGAAACAATATTATTCGTAATCATAATCATAGCCACACCAACAACATCTACAACGCACTAGCTTCCCTCATACACCACCACCACCACCACCACCACCACCACCACCACCACGACCACTACCACCACTACCATCAACGGAAATACAACAGAAACACACAACTATTCCCATATAAATTGAATACTGAAAGCTTCACTAAAACCAAACTCACCGGGACAACCGCACCCACAGGCTCCACTGTTCCACCTGAAATTAAAAACACACAAGTTAATACTCTACAAATATTCAACAAAACACAATATTATACTTTCACCAAAACCACAGTGGTTCACCTCATCCAATAAAGCAGTGCTCCACGTCGCCACACACATTCACTTCACGTACCACTTACTTACTTACTCACTCACTCACTCACTCACTCACTCACTCACTCACTCACTCACTCACTCACTCACTCACTCACTCACCACCACAACTCACACAATAAAAACACACAAATTAAACCCGATCAACATAATTACACTCACCATTCCATGCAATTACATACAACCATGAATCTATCTGCTTAACGATCTAACACTACCAAGTCACAATTGTCTTAACTCGGACCGGTCACTCAATTCAATCATGTACATCATAACGGAAATTCTTACCCAATCTAGCTGTTCTCTCGTCGGAAAACAACACACTCGTCTTCGCACATCACTAAACACTTATCACAACTACAAAACATCGTAGCTAACACTCTACAAATCAACTCGTCAAACAAACAAACAAACAAACAAACACACACACACTAACACACAAAATATCTCCATGTGACCAAACAAATACTCAAAAGCAACATAACTATCACAATACCCAACACAACATCAATACTCATGAATCACGTCCCACACTAACAACAACAACAACAACAACAACAACAACCCACACTACCAAAAGATTTAACAACAAATAAAGTGTCAAAAATCAACAATTACCTCTGTCAGGAGAACTGATCGATCGAGAAGAAACTAGTGAATTCAAATCGCCATTCATTGACATCGATTTCTCTGAAAAAAATTCACCGATTAACAAACACACATCAGTTGAGTCTGATACTATCACGTCGAAACAATGAAAGGTTACTAAGGAAAGTTTCGGATGCACATTTTCTACAAATAGCATCCAAAACATAAATATACAACTTCAACTCCCAACACAAACACACAAAACTCATCAAAACCAATATGTACACTTCTGCACAACCACATAAAACTCCATACATGTTTCAATGCACTCACCTTCTTCATCACCCTCCGTCAATTTCGGATCCATCGCCGTCAACACGCACACAGCTTTAGATTCACCCACTGTCAAAACAGAACACCCTGAAACGGTGCTCGCATCTCCGTTCACTGATCCTAAAACAATACAACCCATAATCAATATCAATAAAACAAGTCGTTCCTAACAAATAACACTCAACTGAACATCTACGAAAATATATCAAAATTACCTTTCTCAACTATGGGCTCTGCTAACACAGACTCGCTCAATCTCAATGGGGAAAACGATTCTGAAAGTATACAAAAACAATTACACAAAATGTTAAATGCTCATCATCACATCGATAACAAACACTCCACTGTCACATTCACAGTAACATTGAATATAATCATCAACGCAAGCACCAATATGACAAGCGAAACACAACACCCACATTATCACATAGACAAATATCCTAAACAAAACAAATATCAACCTTCTTATTCAACCCTCCACCACATAAACACTGACTACTCATATCCACCAACCACATAGAAACTCAATATCACACTTACCACCACTCCCCACATTCCCTCTGACCGTGCCTCTTCTCCCACGCCGTCTACCCACCATCATCTACAATAGAAACAACAACAACAGAAACAATATTATTCGTAATCATAATCATAGCCACACCAACAACATCTACAACGCACTAGCTTCCCTCATACACCACCACCACCACCACCACCACCACCACCACGACCACTACCACCACTACCATCAACGGAAATACAACAGAAACACACAATTATTCCCATATAAATTGAATACTGAAAGCTTCACTAAAACCAAACTCACCGGGACAACCGCACCCACAGGCTCCACTGTTCCACCTGAAATTAAAAACACACAAGTTAATACTCTACAAATATTCAACAAAACACAATATTATACTTTCACCAAAACCACAGTGGTTCACCTCATCCAATAAAGCAGTGCTCCACGTCGCCACACACATTCACTTCACGTACCACTTACTTACTTACTCACTCACTCACTCACCACCACAACTCACACAATAAAAACACACAAATTAAACCCGATCAACATAATTACACTCACCATTCCATGCAATTACATACAACCATGAATCTATCTGCTTAACGATCTAACACTACCAAGTCACAATTGTCTTAACTCGGACCGGTCACTCAATTCAATCATGTACATCATAACGGAAATTCTTACCCAATCTAGCTGTTCTCTCGTCGGAAAACAACACACTCGTCTTCGCACATCACTAAACACTTATCACAACTACAAAACATCGTAACTAACACTCTACAAATCAACTCGTCAAACAAACAAACAAACAAACACACACACACACACTAACACACAAAATATCTCAATGTGACCAAACAAATACTCAAAAGCAACATAACTATCACAATACCCAACACAACATCAATACTCATGAATCACGTCCCACACTAACAACAACAACAACAACAACAACAACCCACACTACCAAAAGATTTAACAACAAATAAAGTGTCAAAAATCAACAATTACCTCTGTCAGGAGAACTGATCGATCGAGAAGAAACTAGTGAATTCAAATCGCCATTCATTGACATCGATTTCTCTGAAAAAAATTCACCGATTAACAAACACACATCAGTTGAGTCTGATACTATCACGTCGAAACAATGAAAGGTTACTAAGGAAAGTTTCGGATGCACATTTTCTACAAATAGCATCCAAAACATAAATATACAACTTCAACTCCCAACACAAACACACAAAACTCATCAAAACCAATATGTACACTTCTGCACAACCACATAAAACTCCATACATGTTTCAATGCACTCACCTTCTTCATCACCCTCCGTCAATTTCGGATCCATCGCCGTCAACACGCACACAGCTTTAGATTCACCCACTGTCAAAACAGAACACCCTGAAACGGTGCTCGCATCTCCGTTCACTGATCCTAAAACAATACAACCCATAATCAATATCAATAAAACAAGTCGTTCCTAACAAATAACACTCAACTGAACATCTACGAAAATATATCAAAATTACCTTTCTCAACTATGGGCTCTGCTAACACAGACTCGCTCAATCTCAATGGGGAAAACGATTCTGAAAGTATACAAAAACAATTACACAAAATGTTAAATGCTCATCATCACATCGATAACAAACACTCCACTGTCACATTCACAGTAACATTGAATATAATCATCAACGCAAGCACCAATATGACAAGCGAAACACAACACCCACATTATCACATAGACAAATATCCTAAACAAAACAAATATCAACCTTCTTATTCAACCCTCCACCACATAAACACTGACTACTCATATCCACCAACCACATAGAAACTCAATATCACACTTACCACCACTCCCCACATTCCCTCTGACCGTGCCTCTTCTCCCACGCCGTCTACCCACCATCATCTACAATAGAAACAACAACAACAGAAACAATATTATTCGTAATCATAATCATAGCCACACCAACAACATCTACAACGCACTAGCTTCCCTCATACACCACCACCACCACCACCACCACCACCACCACCACCACCACGACCACTACCACCACTACCATCAACGGAAATACAACAGAAACACACAACTATTCCCATATAAATTGAATACTGAAAGCTTCACTAAAACCAAACTCACCGGGACAACCGCACCCACAGGCTCCACTGTTCCACCTGAAATTAAAAACACACAAGTTAATACTCTACAAATATTCAACAAAACACAATATTATACTTTCACCAAAACCACAGTGGTTCACCTCATCCAATAAAGCAGTGCTCCACGTCGCCACACACATTCACTTCACGTACCACTTACTTACTTACTCACTCACTCACTCACCACCACAACTCACACAATAAAAACACACAAATTAAACCCGATCAACATAATTACACTCACCATTCCATGCAATTACATACAACCATGAATCTATCTGCTTAACGATCTAACACTACCAAGTCACAATTGTCTTAACTCGGACCGGTCACTCAATTCAATCATGTACATCATAACGGAAATTCTTACCCAATCTAGCTGTTCTCTCGTCGGAAAACAACACACTCGTCTTCGCACATCACTAAACACTTATCA